CAGCCAGCCATGCTGGCTGGGGAATTCTGGGAGTTGAAGTCCACACATCTTAAAGTTCCCAAGGTTGAGAAACACTGGTTTAGTGGTTAAAATGTTGATGGGGACCAGGGAAATCCAGTCCCCCCTCATCCACGGAGTTCACCGGATGACTTTGGCCCAATCGCTTCCCCACATTCCAGCCTGCCCAGATAGGGTGGTGGTTCTGATGATAAAATGAGGGATAATCTCATGTAAAACACCCTGAGCTACTTAGAGGAAAAGTAAGACATGAATTAAGCTCAGAAACAGATGTCCAGATGTGCAGGCTTCAATGAGGAAGATCCTTTTATTTTCACCAGTTGCTCCTTGGTGCCCCGGACGCTAAGCTGGAATCTCTCCATCTTGTTGGGGATCCGACGGCCTACAGGTTTACCAAGGAGGGTGCCAGTAATAACAGGGTAAGTGCCCTGCAGTTTATTCTGTGGCAAGTCATTCTGACGTTAAGAAGAAGCGGGGGGCAGGGGGGAAGCAGGAGAGAAAGTGAAAGAAAATGAAGTATGTTGGGAGATGTTAGGAGGACATGGGTTTTGTAAATGCCCGCTCAGTTAATCGGCAGAAATCTCAGAAGTTGTGTGTGTGTGTGTCAATGTGTGCGTTCCTGAAAATACAAATGCTAAACAATTGATAAAAAGACGTTAGGATTTAGTCCAAAGTATTCAAAATCTCACACCTACCCTTCTTCCCAACCCTGAAAGAAAGTTGGGGGAAAAAGTTGAAAGTTGTGTTGAAGAACACTCCTCGTCTTTGGAGTCTCAAGGTAGCGTTTCAGTTCTGGAACCCAAAGAGTGTTGCATTTTCCCCAGGAGATGTGTGCAGATCTATGTGTGGGTGTGTCTGTGTGTATACACGCCCGTGGCCCTGAATTCATCATCGCTCTGTCATCCCCTGAAACGGCCACTGCGTGGCAATGCTCCTTCGTTTGCTGGTGAAAAGGCTTGGATTTCCTGCTGCCGGTGGGGGCGGAGGGTGCATTTCAAGCTGGAAAGGGTCCTTGGAAAGCTAGAGAGAGTGAGGGGGACGGGGCTAATGGGGGTACAGAGTTTTCTGCTTGCAGTGTGGATGGCTAGGTGGGCTACCCAGTTTTAGGAGATTCGCTCAGCTTGTTGCAATACAAGGGTGGACGAATGCAAAAGCAGGAAGGGGGGTGATGTTTTTAAGTCTCAAGCTGTAGAATTCCTTCTGGAAGTTGTTCCTTGTGGAGGTGAAAAGCTCCAGACCTTTATCCCACCCCACGGTGTCTTGGATCCATCTCCATAACAGACACTGTTGGAGGAGAGCCCGGTTAGTCTATGGTGGCCAAAAATCAGCAGGAGTCTGCCTGCACCTTTTCTGACGACCACATTTTATTGAAAGGCAAGAACTTCCAAAATCGTGGTCATGATGATAAAGAAGAACAGGAGGAGGAGGAGGAGAAAGAAGGTGATGAAGAAGAACACTTATGGCCTTTAATAAAATGTGTCAGTCGGAAAAGGTGCGCCCAGACTCCCGACTTCCCGCTTCCATAATGAGGCAGTGTGAGGATGGACGGCTGAAAGACCTGCTACAATGGATCGAAGGAGCTGGGTGGGCAGAAATGTTTTCTTCCCTGCCATAAGTGAAGGAAACAGAATTCCAGTTCTACCTCCCGACTGCCACGGGCCATAAAGCAGTTTGGGAGCCCTTCCTTGCAGACTAAATTAGTTGTTTCCCTACTTGGTCCAACAGCTTCAGCTAGATGGACCCCTTTATTATTTTAAACATGAGATTAAACCCCAGTTCAAATGTCAGCTAAGACCGGAAGAGGCATCCACAGGGCCATTTGTTCAGTTTGCCTTTTAATGGGGGTTTGCCTACATTGGATTCCTTGAATTAATGCAAGAATTGAAACACGCCAATCCTTGGACCCTTGCGTTCTTCACAACCAGGCAATGTGGTTTGCTCATTTAAAAAAAACACATACAGAAGTGCGCTATCTCGGGGAAATCAGCAACAGATCTGGGTGTATTAGTGAAAATACCGTGCTGACTAAAAGGCACGCGAAAAGACACGCACTGGAACAGAATGACCTAGAAATTCAGGATTTGTCGAGCACCAATGCATCATTTAAACAGGCTTGGGCTGAACGCACCCAGGTTGGCTCGCAAGCGGCTGTCCGGCCTTCTTGGAAACACCCAGAAGGGGCCTGATCCATTCTTGTTCTTATTTTATCCCTTCCACTTCTCCACCTCCCTGCCTGGCTCCCCGCGGCCCCTCTAGTCTTTGGACAGTGAGAAAACCAGCTATCGAGCGGTGGTGGATGCCATGAGAGTGATCGGTTTCAGCGCCCAAGAGGTGGATTCAGTGCAGAAGATCCTGGCAGCCATTCTGCACTTGGTAAATTACATTTATTTCATGCTTTACCGGCCCGCCCTTCATGGTGGGTCAGGTCAGGAAACAGGCATCGCGTGAACTACTAGAACATTTACCTTATTGTAACAGGGCTAGGAAATGGTTGGCAGAGCCCAACAGATTTTGGACGCCCGGAGGCTGCTCTTAGAAGGGATCAGAATGAAAAAGAAAATCCTCCTTTAACATTCGTACAGCTAAGGACAACTTAAGGCTTTAGATAGCTTTATGGGGACGTGGTGGAAAAGAGGCTGTCAGGATATGTTTGGGCCATGGTTCCATGCTAGTGGCTCTCTGGAAGGATAGTGACCTCCTCTCCTTCAGGGAAACTGAGGTCTCCGGAACATGGGTTCAGGGTGGGGGCACCATTGCTGTGTGATGTCTGATGGCTTCATTTTTCCACTGAATTTCCAGGGCAACGTGAACTTCATCTCCTCCGGGGATGAGGTGGACGTAGAGAACCCCCAGCTGGTTTCCCAACTTGCGGAATTGACTTCCACGGAGCCGGAGAGCCTGCTGAACACACTCCTGTATCGGACGGTGGCTACCGGGGGTGGGGAGGTGATCCAGAAGGGCCACAGCTGTGATGAGGCCAACTACGCCCGGGATGCCTGCGCCAAGGTAACACCAGTGCTCGGCTGGAAGGGACTCCTTCCTTGGCTTATGTGGCCTTGGGTGACGCTTGGAAGGGCAGCCAAGACCTTTTCTTTCCTATGGAAACAGAGACCTCTGTGACCTTTGGGAAACTTTCCTAGGGAGCTTGGAAATAATAGCAAAGGGTTGGTTTGGGGTTTTTTTAACTATCAAAGTTTGGGGACAAGGGCGTCCCCAAAGGGGGTCGAAACAGTCAAGATGGCAGCTCCAGCCGTGCAATCAGTGAGGCATGCAAAGGGGGGCTTCAAACATGTGGTTGCAGCTGCCGTCTTGACTGTTTTGACCCTCCCCGTAGGCACCCTTGGGGGGAGATAACTATTTGCTGTGGAAATCAAGAAAGCGCGATGGATTTGAACGTCATTCTGGCTGTTCTTCCATTGGAATCACGTGCAGCGAGCTCTTCGGAGCCTGCTTTGGCCCAGGTTTCAGAACTGCCCAACCATTTGGCACCAGAACAACTATTCACCCAAAGCACCTGCTTGTAAGCATTACTGTCAGCCCTTTGAGGCGACTGGGTCAGGAAACACAGCCAAGGACTCCAGGGATGCTGATTTATTGTTGGAAGTATAATAACCGAACCTTGACAGCTTGCCAGAGTCTCCCTCTGCCCCCTCTTATACCAAAGCAAATCAAAGTGGATTATCCTGAGTCTTTTTCTCGCACTCCTTCCTTCCCCAGGGCTGAGATGTCATTCGCTCTCTCTTTTATCTGCGGGCGGCTCTGGCGTTCCTTCGCCAACTTTGTCTCTCTTTTCCTCTACATTGCCCTGGGGTGACCTGGTTTCACAAACGGCTTATAAATCTTGGAAATGAAATCCCAGATGTTGTTGTTTTAATCTTTCACTACCTGATTCTTGCCTGTCTGCTTTGCTGCTTTTGGATGTCAAAAAAGTCACGCCAACTTTCCTTGCCTTCGATGGAGAACGAGTTTAAAGGCTGACAAATTCCAGTCTTGCTGATCCATGGTATCTCCTTTAGTGGGAACAGCACTGGCCCTTTTTCAGCATTTTGGACCTCTCCCAGACAAAGTTTCCTTTTCGTGGGGCCTTCTCACTGCAGGCATTCCTCCGGTGGAATCCCTTGCCCCCACCAATGCCCCACTTCCATGATGAAGATGATGACGAAGATGAAAACCTGGATCTGGAAAAGAACATTAGGAGGATGTTAAGTTTGGGGTCTGCCCCTGTTGGATTGTGCCGCTGTAGTTCACACAGCTTCCTGGTTGTTACTATCGCTTTTCGTCTCTGTCCTGACAAACTGTCGTTCTGAGCTGTTTTGAGTGGACCAGTATAGGAATATCAGGAATAAACCAATAAATAAATGATCTTTGATCACGCAGAAGAGAAAGTGCTATGAAGAGCCAGAGATTGAGGGGAGGTTGCGAAAGGAGAGGAAGAGAGAGCAGACATAAGCAGACGAGGGATAAGAGGGGGCTCTGTTGGCATCTCATAAACCCCAACCCGGGCTGAGGGCCAAGAATTCAGGGAAGGAAGGATGCCAAGTGCCCTGAGAGGGTCCGCCTTAATCAATTCGCTGTGAACAGGGCTGGGAAACTCCTCTTGCAGGTTCCACAATTCTGCATGTACCTCTAGTTCAAGCGCTGATGATCCCTTCCTGGAATCCGAAGTGGGGTTGCTTGCTTGCTCTTGCCCAGCTGGGTGGGGCTCGACAGTGTCTTAAAGAGGACATGTCTGGGTCTTTAAACTCAACTCATCCCCAGCAAAATGACAACGCAGCCTTGTCCCCGTGTTCATCTGCAGGCTATTTATGAGAGGCTTTTTTGTTGGATCGTGGCCCGTATCAACGCCATCATTGAGGTCAAGAACTACGACGCCCGAATCCATGGCAAGAACACCGTCATTGGTGTCTTGGACATTTATGGCTTTGAGATCTTCGACAACAACAGGTAGAAGACGCCTGGGGGATGGTTTGGGTCGTCCAACGACGGGCCCTTGGCTGGGTTGGGTTGGATTGGGTTGGACGGTGGGGCGGTGGCCCTGAGCCTGCAGGCCTCCTTCTGTTTCAGCTTCGAGCAGTTTTGCATCAACTACTGCAATGAGAAGCTGCAGCAGCTGTTCATCGAGCTGATTCTACAGCAGGAGCAGGCTGAATACCAGCGTGAGGGGATCGAATGGCAGCATGTGAGTCCCTCAAGACAAGACCCCCCAGAGTTGTTTTCAGTCTGAAACAAATTCTTTTCATACCACAGGGTGAGGGATCCATGACCACATTTGGAACTGGGGCATTTCTGTAGTGCACGAAGTGGGTTTTCAGATCTTACGCTTCAGTGGGAACAAAGGGAAATCAAATATTGTTTTTTCTTTTCCCAGCCCCACACGTTAGTTCTGAACTTGCAGCGCCCGTAAAACCTTTCAAAAGCTCCGTGTGGCTCTCTAGACCCCATCCTAAGCGAGCACTGCTTCTCCATTTCTTCCCTCAAGGGCAAGAGATGTTTCATCCTCCTTGATCGCACGCAAGTCCAGGCCTCTTCTGGCAGACCACAGGGTCAGAAAGCTCCTTCTGTGTGGATGCTCCAAAAGATCCAGGGGACGAGATTCTTTAAAGCCATGTTTTTCAAACTTGGCCACTTGAAGATGGGTGGACTTCAACTCCCATGCTGGCTGGGGAATTCTGGGAGTTGAAG